CTGAAGTTTTAGGGCAGTGACCCCCTGTCCACCCTCAACCCTGCCCATTCAAATTCAGCCTTCTCTACCCGCGGGTAACACATATGGCCTTGTGAAAATTATTCACGGGTAACTTAATATCTCGGGAACCACGGAGTCTAGGAGGCTGAAATTTAAGATTAAAGACCCCCTGCCCACGCTCAACTTTGCCTATTCAAATTCAGCGTTCTCGCTCTCTCGGTTACCACCTACGGCCTCATGAAAATTTTGGCGGGTAAACTATTAACTCGGGAATCACGGAAAGATATTCATCCTTCAAGATTTCGAATTCAGCTTTCATACGCAGGTGCGTGAAATTTTTAAATCACGGAAAGATATTCATCCTTCAAGGTTTCGAATTCAGCTTTCATACGCTGGTGCGTGAAATTTTTAACTAAGATATTCATCCTTCAAGGTTTCGAATTCAGCTTTCATACGCTGGTGCGTGAAATTTTTAACTGTTGTCCAATGTTTGTACTATTTTTGCATAGACTATAGTACAAAGCAGTGAAAATCATTAACGGCAATCGTTCGATGGGCTGAATTGCACAAAACGCATGATCGCACCGGCTAGTCTGGTGTGCGTTGCTATTTATTATGTCGATGGGCTGAATTGCACAAAACGCATGATCGCACCGGCTAGTCTGATGCGCGTTGCCATTTATTGCTGTTGCTTTTACCAGTGCTACTTTGCCTGATGGTCAGCCTGCCGGGGATTTTGGTGATCGGCTTCTCTCCTTACTTTAGTTGGGGACTATTGAATCAGTGCTACATAAACCGATGGACTGCTCTGGGTTAGATAATCCCTTCAGTTTCATTTGGTTATTGTTTGTTAAAATTGCTTTATTACTTCGACAGAAGCAAACTTCACAGAGGAAAAATAAGGGAAGAGGGGGGTGAAAACTTGGAAAATATAAAATTTGAAACTATTTTTCTTCTGAATTATTTTCACATGGATATTCTAAGTTTTGAATCTTAAGTTCCTTCAAAGAGGAATATATTTCCTTTCATCTTTTCCTGGCTTTGATGAGAAAAGGAACCTGCGAAACATCTCAAATATATTGAGCTGCCGTACCGTTGGTTAACTTCCTCTTCTTTCTCTTTTTTCTTACGCTCTCTGCTTCCTCTCTCTCTTTCTCTCTCTCCCTGCTTTCTCCTCCTCTCGCATATCCATCTTGCAAGTTAGTCACATAACTGTTCAGAGCATGGGCGATAGAAGGCTGTACTGATGATTCCCGCTCCTAACCGCACGCAAAGTTCGGTGAGTGTTTACAGCTAAGGGATGAAACGCAGACTGCATCGTAACATGTCTTACACATAACACTTAGTCCATATCCTTTTATTCTACTATTTCAAATGACTGTGCGTGCATGTGTGTGTGTTTGTATGTGTATGTTTATATGTGTGTATGTGTGTGTGTGTATATACATCCACAACCCTCATCACAAGAATTATTCCTCTTTCCTGGCAACTCAGTGAGCTGCTCGATTTTAGCATTCTTTTAAGCCTGTTTGGCAATTTATGTAAGTCACCATTGTATTTAGCAACGCTTTACAGGATGAACTTGAATTCCATGGAGGAATATCCTTAGAGAGGAAGTTTCCTGAAAGCTCTATACTGTTTCCAATATGTCATTAGATTATTTTGATTTATAATAATTGGTCCAATTATTCAAAATATTTAAGAAAAAAATCTAGTGAATTATAATCAGTAAATTGTATCAAATAATGAGAAATATGAAAAGGAGCCCTGAATTGGAATATTTCGATCCATTAAGACGCATGTTCATGCTTCATTGACTCTGAGCTCACGTATGGATTTCTCTTTTTGGCGTGTCACTTTCGCCTAAATAATTATCATTTGCAGGAAATACAATTACTCCAAGTATTCAAAATATGTTAAAAAATCTAATAAATTATAAAAATAAATTATATCGAATATTGAGAAGTAAGAGAAGGAGCTCTGAATTGGAATATTTCGGTCCATTAAGACGCATTTTCATGCTTGATTAGCTCTGAGCTCACGTATGGATTTCTCTTTTTGACATACCATTTTCGTCTTAATTTATATTATTTGTAGGAAATATGCCATCTTTGCTACATCACCAACAGCAAATGTTCATGCGCCATCAGCACGAGCAGCAGCAGCAACAGCAGCAGGTGAGCATCCTGAAAATTTAGCTTTTTTTTTGTTCAGGAAGGTGCTTCTATTTAATGAGAAATAACGGCATTCAAAAGTCTCTCAGTGACAGCATTCGAGCTGAGTTTATAATACCGTACACACACATACACACACATGTACACACAAATATACATATACACACATATACACAGGTACACACACACACCCACAGATAGACACATACACAGAGGACATCTCGAAACGGCCAAAATTTTATCAGTCTTTCGTCGGAAAAATCTTCTTGCAGGTAATTTCATCGTAAGACGAAACTAACATGAAATAGGCTAACTAAGAAGTGAAAAACTCTGTTTCCGAATTATTACCCAAGCATGAAAATCACCCCCTCCCCCCACTCCCCTTTCCTCCCCTCCCACCCCGTCCTTTCCTAATGCTTACTCTGATCAATTACAGCTCGTTCCTTAGTCCTCCAGTCATGTAGTTCGTAACTATTTCAGGCAGTATAATATTTAGTTAATAAAAAACCATTTGCTAAAAAATGATTTTTGCACATATTAGAGATGATTAGGACGATATAAGTGAGGATTTGGCTTAACCAGGCCCGATGTATGCGTGGATTTCTCCGATTATAGTCCAGGCGACCTTGTGATTTCTCCATTAACCAAGTTGCATACCGTGAGCTTGACGTAATGGAAAAGTATTTTTTGCTCTAATAATGAAATTTGATGTTTCTATCACACCACTGGGAATATCCCCTTTCCGTTCACGTCTTTTTTTTTTCTTTGAATTTTTATCAAAAACAATTTATGTTCCGCACCGATGTTTTACCGCCTGTGTTTACAGCTCAGGGATGAAACACAGACAGGATGCTAGTTCAGTGTACATACAGGCTTGCTTATTTGGGAGATCTAAATGGCACTAATTCCAGTTTTTCGTCATTTGTCAAAATTCGATTGTGTTCCTTTCCACGACGGTGGGCCCAGAATGCCAAATAAACTGCATATTTTGACACATAGGAAAGAACTTCAGGCCTCCATCCTCTTCTACTCTCCTAGATTAATTTATCCTTAAAAAACTTTCATGGGGCCGTATGTACTTGTGGGAACGGGAAGGCTGAATTTGAATGGGTAAAGTTGAGCGTGGGCAGTGAATCATTGCCTAAAATTTCAGCCTCCTAGAGTCCGTGGTTCCTGAGATATTAATTTACCCGTAAAAAAGGTGTCGACGCAGCTGCACGTTGTTTCCCTATCCTTACACTGGTGGCGCTTACAGACGGAGTGAAAAGAAAACTGCTTCACCCTATTAGGACCAGTAATCAGTGGCTCTAAGCAGCCGTGATTTTGCTTTTCCTATGGATATTCATTGTTTGTATCTCTAAAAATTTCTCAAAACACGACAATTATCATTAAAGCATGGTCTGGCAGCTATGCAATATCCGGATGAATCATCGGGAATGAGGCATCTGTTACCGGCTGGTGTACCATATGCTCCAAATTTCTACGATTATCAGTCAGCTGCGCATATGCATCCAATGCATGTACAGGTATTTCTCATTGATATCACTCAAAATCCAAGTGCCAGCTTTTCTCGGATTTCTTCTTTTTTGGCAGTAATTTTTATCACCCTAGCAACTGGAAAATAGGAGTTAGCAGCGGATAAGTTTGTAATAAACTGGAGTCAAAAGCGAAATGAGTCAAAAACAGCTCATAGCACAAAGATATATCGCAATTTTGGCATCCCTTTTGGTGCCCAGGTCTTTTTTTCATCGTTCTGCCCTCCGTCGCCTCCTTTCTGTCGAATTAATAAAAAACTAAGTACTTTTGAAGTATTTTTACTAAAATGTAACATTTTTGAAGAGTTTTTTCGCTAAATTCAGCGTTTTTGAATCGAAGATGAAATGGATTGTTGAGTGCAGCTTAGAACATAGAGGTATATCTCAGTTTTGACACCCTTTTGGTATCCAGGTCCCATTTTTTACTGTTTTGCCCTCCTTCGCCTCCTGTCATGTATCCGCTTAATAAGCTGAGTATTTTTGTTGTGTTTTTATGAAAATATAGCATTTCTGATGCATTTTTTGCTAAATTTAGCATTCTTGGGTCTACTTTTTTACTTCTTTAGATAAACAACAACTCAGACGATCTCCGAAGAGATAGCACACCTGTATAGCAACCTTTAGGATCAAAAGACCTGGTGTAGCTACCTCGGCATTTGAAGGCATTCCAGTAACATTGGTGACATGAAATCCCCACATAGGCTGTTTGAGCGCTGTTGGTATTCTTAGTGTTTGCGTGTATTATGTAGTGAAATATTTTTCGCTAAATTTTGCACTTATTGTCCTAATTTCTCCCTCTTTTTTTTGCATACGGACGATTTTGTCGATTGCAGAGGACATTCGAATCTCCCTAAGTATACCTTTGTGTAACAGTGCAAATTAAAACTAATGAAATTGGTTTTTTTTTTTCTTTTGGCGCACTAAGCACGAGTTGTATGGGAGAGAACTGATTATTGTGTCAAAATTTAACAAAATAGACAAAAATGTTTTGTTTTCGTTTTTTTTCAAAAATACAGTATTTTTCTGAAAAAAAAGCGTTGTTTAGTGCAGTATTTTGTATTTTTGAAAAAATAAAAAAACGTTGTTCAACGCAGCACTATGGATGCAATATTTGTGCGCTCTGAAGAAATCGATCATGTTTCAGTTAAAAATGTTATCCTTTAAAAAAGCGAGATGCAAAAATAATAAAATGACACGTCATTTTAAGTAAAAGCACAAAAAATGTTACTGAAAAAAT